AGTTTAAGTTTCACTTTCACTTTGCTCTGTTACTGCTGAGAGCCTGCAGGAGTCATGGGCGGGGTGTGTGAGGTGGGGGGTGGGGAGGTGTGCTCCATGATGAGGAAGCTCGGCTTAAAGACACGTCCCAGAGGCGTTTCTGGTAAAAGGTGTTTCTGGTCCCCACCTGTCGTTTTGCTCCTCAGCATGGCTTCATAAAAACGCTGCAGGATTTCTCAAACATGATGAATGAGTCAGAGCAAGGCTTTGGACATGATTTTTTAGGAGAGTATAACATCATAACAGGATATAAAACTCAAAAATGTTGATTTTACAGGATATTGCCCCTTTAAGGCAGAGGTGTCAAATTCATTTTCTCCGAGAACCACATGAGCCCAGTCTGATGGCCCAGTTTTTTTTTTTTGTTTCGCTCTCGGAGGAGTAAGACACTTCTTTCCTTCTCTCCTGCCCTCCCTTGTCTTTCCCTGCTTTGCTGCTTGGAGTGTTCTCTACATTTTTTATCTGAAACTAGAAATTATGGATATTTTAATTTTTATGGATTTGGTTAGCTGGTCTCTTAATAAAACTTTTGGAACAAAGTTTATTTGCTTCCATGGAAGACGTGGGACCTCTGTTCTTCTCTGTTCTGGATATATGTCTGGATTCTGATCACTGGATTCTGCAGATTGGCTTGGTGGTCTCCTGGTGTTCTACAAAACAGCATCTGTGGCTTTTCATTTTCTGGCTGACTGACACATTTGATGGATGGCCGTATTCTATCAGCACTCGGACATTTGTGTAGGGGAGTTACTTATGTTAAATAAGCCTCTCTACATCTTCTCATAACAAAGTTATGAGAGAAATTTTTACCAAGGTTTTTCTCATTACTTTAATATTTGACTGTGCAAATTGAAGAGTGACACAATAAGGGAACGCTCAGACGAGTTCAAGTTGATTCATAAAAGATTATGCAATCATTTATTTACACAAATTGAACAGATCATAAGTTACACCTGATTGTGGGTTTCCTATAACAAGCTTCAAAGTTAAATGAGACAAAACTCGCGTCCGAATTTCAGTTCGCATTCAAACTCAGATTACTTATATATAGAACAGTAAAAACGTCAGTTCTGATGTTAAAAACCAACAATACTACTGGCACTTTAACTTAAGGTTGGCAAAGGAAGGAAAGAAAAGGTTTGAAATTAAAGGTTAGTGTTTCTGCTTTTATTTTATCAAGTGTGGTCAACCGGATCAGCACGTCCTTTCTGCGTTTAGTTTCCACATGACACGTCACTCCAAACACGTCAGCTTTTACCTGGTGATGTCTTCTTAAGGCACCCCTGGGTATGAACTGTCTCACCTCCGACCATCCAGGGAACTTGTATCAGCTCGCTTACTGGTCCTTGGCGAGTAGGTATTTTTCAGGTAACTTTCGTCTGTTTCAGTCCAAACCAGAAAGATTCTAGCTGAAGTTTCCGGTCGTCCTTCAAAATAAAAGTTCTCCCCTCGGGAGGTAAAACACTCTTTATGAGATGTGTGTCTCTGGGTGGACAGAAGCGGCGTGCTTACTGTCCTGGCCAGCAAATCTACTCTATTTGGCTTCTGAGTCAGACCTGCGGCCAGGCTGTTCCTCCGGAGAGAAAAGCCGGTCTTCCCATTTCGGCATTCAGGAAGAAGAGTCTCGTGTGTCTCTCCAAGACGTCCGTGTTAGTACAGAGTCGGACGACTTGGGTCCGCCCTCAGGCGTTAAGAGTTGAGTCAGAAAAGGAAAGAGAGATAAAGACTTTGCTAGTGGCGCCAGTGCAAGGACACATTCTGTAGCTGTCACAACAGAATGATAACCTCCTCTTTAGCTTTTCTTTCTGATAGACTCTAAGAGAAATCACTGTAAAACATTTATGATGATTAATTAACATTTCTGTTTAAATAATCAGTCTGAACTTGGTCCAGATAAATGAAAGGTTTTCTTAAGAAAACTCAAAATTATATTACTGATGTTTCAGTAAAATAAAAACAGTGATTTATATAAAAACACAATGAAAACATGGTGATGATTTCCTCTGTGATTTTTACACCATTAATTAATCTTTTAGGCACGATAAAAGAATAGAAGTGATTCTGCTTCTTTGTGACTTGTCATTATTATGATTAACAAATGCATAAACATTCTTAGTTAAACAACAAATGAATCACGAACAGAAAAGATTGTTCTGTTCATTATTTGATTAAGAGAACTGAAGTTCTCTTCTYGGTTGAAATGACCTGTCATGGCCTAAAATAGAGTTCAGTGTTCCTGCCTTCTGTCAGGCCTTCCGAGACCTGCTTTGAGGCAGTAACTCCTGTTTCTTCACTCGAGGTGACCCCTACATTTGCCTTGAGCGAGCTGGACTTGGTCTGCACGTGGTTCTACTGAGAGTCGCGGGCCAGCTGTGGTTCCTGGACTTTGATGGACAGATGGAATTCATATTGGAGAAGCTGATGGATCGGCTCGGCTGTATGTGTCCACACCGTTTTGCCTGATTGGATTCGCCACCTTGAGAGTTCCAGCAGACATTAAGGCAGAGGGAAAATTGTTGTTGTCTGCCTGTCATTTTTGTTCCCAAAACAACTGATTACAGAATCTGGATCTCTCCGGCAACGGCCTTGACTGTTGTCTAAATCCTTTCTGGTTGGAAGATGTTGACAAGGCTCTCCCCCACACACACCACCTCCTCTCTCACCCATTTGATCTGATTCCTGAGAAAGCTGAGGGCTCACAGAATGAACAATTGACCATCAATATTCTGAACTTTGGCTGCGCTGGTTCTGGGGACTGGATTCTTCGAGCCCCTTTATCTCACTTACTCCTCTGGCTAATAAATCTGCTCTATGCAGAGGTTTTTTCATAAACACCATAGTGTGTCACATTGTTGATATGTTATGATGTTTTTGCTTTTTTCCTCATTTTCCTTTGTTGTTTTTTAGTTTTCTGTTGTTTTGTTGTTAAGGTAGTGCAACTGTGTTTGCTGCATGACCTGTCTTAACTGCCCCCTCCCCCCCTTCCCTGAATGTTCAACACCTTGTGAATTTATTTCTGTGAAAGGCACTATATAAATAAAACATTACTTACTTACTTACTTACTTACTTACTTACTTACTTACTTACTTACTTACTTACTTTGTGATCAAATTTAACATTTTATATTTAATTTTGATTAAACAGAAATCACACATTCCTCATCTCTTAATGGCTGAGCACCTCTAACAAACAATAACTGAGTCTCAATCTACCTGTTTGTGAGTTGCACGTAGTGGTTACTCAGGATTTTACAGTACATGGCTCCAACCATTCTCCCATTTATACGGTGAAGTAGTCCTGTCCCTTTAGCAGAGAAACCCCCCCAAAACGTTTCCACCTCTATGCTTGATAGTGGGGATGGTGTTCTTTGGGTCATAGTCAGCATTTCTCTTCCTCCAAACCTGGTGAGTTGAGTTGATGCCAAAGAGCTCCTCTGACCACAGCACCTCTCATCCCTTTCAGAATTATCCAAGTATTCATTGGAAAACTTCAGATGGACCTGAACATGTGCCTTCTTGAGCAAGGAGGAGCTTGGGGGCACTGCAGGGTTTTATTCCATAATGGTGTAATGTGTTACCACTGGTTTTCTTGGTGACTGTGGTCCCAGTTGACTTGAGACCATTAACAACTTTGCCCCGTGTAGTTCTAGGCTGGTCTCTCACCTTCTTCATGATCCAGGATACCCATGAGGTGGGATTTTGCATGGAGTCCCAGATTGATGTCAATTGATAGCCATTTTGTATTTCTTAAATTTTCTTACTGTCTTAGAAAAATAAATTATCCTCTAAAGTCCCTCATTCTTCTCAGGTCAAGAGTCAGTGACCTCTTTTTCTTACCTTAAAACGTCTGGGTAAATAAAGAATTCCACGACATATTGGTGTCAACGAACGAATTGACTTATTCTTGTTCTATTATAATTCAGTAATTTTATTCACTAATGGCAAGCCTGAAAACTGTTAGTGAGACTGCAGTTGTTGTAGAAAAGCTGATGGCTCTGGTACCACCAGAGCCATCAGCTTTTTGCATCAAAACGCATCATTAACTGCTTTTTGTTAATGATTCAAGTCTTTACACGGTGAAATGTTTACTCAAGTTTCACATTGATGTTACACTTGCATATAAGAAACAAAATGATTGGCCATAATTTACATTTGAAGATTTCTATTAACACGAGAAATGAATACTGATAAACGTGAGTAATGATTACTAATAAACAAGTAATGCTGAGTCAATTACTCATAAACATTAGTTTTAAGATCATAAGTTATTTAGTGATGGATAAGCTTGGATACAAGACTTTGTGTAAACAGAGCTTGAATTGGTTTTTGATTTTGTAAAAACTAACCATCCTGGTGTAATCACTTTGTATAAATGGCTTTAGTAATGATTACTAACTTGGGTTTACAGTGCATTAATATTTTAAATATTAGATATTTTATTTATTATTGTTTTTTTTTCTCTTCTCTGTCTCATGAGTCCACAAAGTCTGGCATAAAAATCCCTGGTCCAAATAACTGAGTCTCCTGTAAAGCTTCTTAGTTTTAGTTCTTTTATCTTGTGTTTTTGGTTTGTTCTTTTTCAGTTCAGAAGTAAATGTTCAGTGTAATGAAGAAATGGTTAATATTAGTTACTGAAAAAGTAATTTGAGACCTCAAAACGTTTAATTTGAAGTTTGTTTGTTATTTTACTGTTTTTGTTTTTCATCATTTTCCTATTTAAGGTGCAGTTTAAAGGTTTATTAAAATGTGGAGATGTAAGGTATGTTCTAAACAAGCATATTTTATTTTATAGTACTTCGGAAGCTGTTTGCTAACTTTTTTTCTTTCTCTTTTGTTTGTGTTCCTTTTTTCTTTTTTTAAGCCTTTACATTCCCAAGGAGGAGGTCAATCCGGGATTTCCTAAAGGTCAGTGCCTCAGAATTTTTCTCTCATTGCCTAAGAGGTGAAACCCATTGCACCCCATGCATAGCATGACTTTGAAGAAACCTGAGAGACTTATGGGCACAAAGGTTGGTGCATTTAGAGCTGCAGGACTGTAGTTTGTTGACAGCATCTGCAAAAGTCTGAAAAGTCTGTCGCCTCTGTCCTGTCTTGTCCTGAAGTCTGTGGAAACCACTAACCTGTTGCAGAGTTGTGAGAGCTGTCTGCCTTTTACCTGCTGAGAACAAGTTCAGGTTTTCAGGTGTCCAGTCTCTCGTGGGGGCCTGGCCAAGACTGGACCACTGGGTGCAGTGGGCAGTGCTAGTTGCCATCAGAGTGAGACTGGATGCAGTGAGGAGGTAACAGCTGATCTGATGGCATTTTCCTGGAGTGACCCTTCCTGGTGGAACTTCAAGACCTCATTTCATAAAGTAAGATGTTTTTCACCATAACAACATATTATTGATTAGAACCACATTGCTGGACTGTATTTATATAAAAAAAAGGAAAATGGTTTTATTTTTGACCTAGAAGGCAGTAATATTAGGAAAATAACTGGATCTGCCTGGTGAATACTCGTTACAAGCCTGATCTTTGAGGTATTCACTTCAGAAGTTTTATTCTCTATTTAATTTTCTGTTTAGTTTATGTCTGCTGCAGCACAAGCTCCTCCCCCTGCATGTGATGCTGGTCTTGTGCCCTCTGGTCAGCTGGTCTTTCTGATTTGGGGTGGGGGCAAAGCCCTGCATCTGATCCTGCCGGCATCAAAGACAGACTCAAATCTGGAAGTAACTCCTCTGCAGCAATCGTCTTCCCTCAAATAAACAAAGAGAGCAAAAAGTTGATTTGTGTTTTATTTTTGTGTTTTTATTTTTGACTTAATTCAAATATAAATTTCTGTTTTAATTTATTTTTGAATTGGTTTGTTTTTAAGTTCATTTTCATCTGTTTGACTTTTTATCACTGTGCTAATTTTCTTGAATATTTTTAAACTGTTGGGTTTTTCAGTTTTAATGTTGGGTTGGATTAAAAGACTTTCCTGAATGGAGTGGAAAATACTGTGGATTTATTTTCTCAAGTATGGTTTTATTAGGTTACTCTAAACAATTTATCAGAGTAATATAACAAAATCCTGATCTCATGTGATTTTGTTTGCTTTGTTGACCTGACCTTTCTTTTTAATTATGATCCTTCTCAGGTCATTTCTTTTTATAATTTTTATTTTTATTTAACATTTTATTGTCAAGATTTGCTTCAAGTCACTATTATTTTCTTGGTCAATTGCTTACTTAATAGTTCAGCTTAAAACTTATTTATACCAATGGTTGGTTCAAAATTTTGTAATGACAAACTATTATTTTTCCAAATGTATTTTAGTGATCAATGTTTGATCAAAAGGGACGAGTTGTCTTAGAAAAACAACTTATCCTCTAAAGTCCCACATTATTCTCAGGTCAAGCATCAGTGACCTCTTCTGTTTACCTTAAAATGTCATCATGTTTTATTATTTTACTCTTTATCCTCTGTTTTCTCTCAGATAAAGTATTTCACAACCAGGACAATATCTGTTAGGAAATAATCAATTTTGTTGCTGTTCATCAAACATCATTCTCTCCTTGGCCTATTTGAGACTGCCTCGTTGCACACATTTTGTCCCACTGCCCTGTGTGATGTGTGCAAATAAATCCTGATGACCATTCACAGAGTACTTTTTATTACTGGATCACGTGTTTCTGTTTTGGGTAAATAAAGAATTCCACAACATTACTATTTCACCAACAGTTGTCTCCTTCTCACCCAGCATCTTACTGATGGTTTTGTAGCCTATTCTAGCTTTGTGCAGGTCTGTGATCTTGTCTCTAACATCCTTAGACAGCAGCGCTCGAAACACCATCTTGCAACACTTTTGCTTCATTTGCTTGAAACACTGTCAAGCAGGCAGCGTAACATCCCTAGTCCTAACATTTGTAAATCAGTTCTGGTTACCGTGATGAACCATTTTGACAAGATAAGTGAGTAGAAAAAAAAAACAAGTAACAACAGAAGAAGAAAAACAGCTGTTTTTATTGGAATGGATCACAGACGCACGACAGTTCTGCTTAACTCCTGTTCAGGAAAAGGCAACTAATGTCAGTACTAATTCTCTTTTTTATACCTTTTAATTAAAAATATATGCAGTGGTTGATACCACAAGCTTTTCCATAAAATAACTCACATTTTTGACGTTTGAAAACAATCTCAAAACTTTTGTTTTGTGTACATATTTAGTCAAAATCAGTATACAAAATTTTGGCAGGTGGTTTTAAGTTACTTTAATAAGATTCAAGTATTCCCATTGGGAAATCATTTTAAACTGTCTGGTAAAAGTATAAATTTCCAAAACACAAGCTTTTCAGTTAAGAAAAAAAGCTAAAATATCTGAAATGTTGGAAAAGTTCCACCACACTACTGTAAAGTACAACAGTCAGCATTTACAAAAAATAAACATTTCACCTTCAAACACTATGTACATGGACAATCCATGTAACTTTAATCTTCTCAAACATTTAACATTTTCTTACAATCAACATCTATACAACATTCATCAAATAAAATTTAAGTTTTAAATATGTCTCGTAAATTTTTACCAAACTTAGTTTTCTCACAATCCAAGTGAAGATTTGGGTAGAATCGTAAAACCAGGATTCCTTCTGCGTTGTGTTTGATTTCAAATTAAAATGAGACCAGAATAAACACAAACCGAGAAATAAAGAAAAAGTCCATCTTGTAACACTGCATAAAAGGTGTACTTTGCATTTCCAGGACCATTTACGTGGTGTTTTAAGGTGCTTTCTTACTACTCAGTCTATGACCAGTTCACTAAGCTGTTGAACTTTTTCTACATTTCTTACAGTCAATAAAACTGTCACTGCTGTGTTTTTATAACTTTGAGATACTTTTTTTTACCATTATTTATTCTGTGGTCACATTTGAGGTGACGTTCTGTCAAATAGTTATCCATACTACCTTAAAGACATCAATCAGAGAGCACAAAGCAAAGAGAGAAGTGAAAAAGTGTTAATCAGGCTAATAGTTAGCCAAATAACTATTTGTCAAGAACAACATTCCTGTGTGAAAAAACACTACATATGGTAACATCTACACCTTTGTACAATGTACAATATGTGTACAGAACACAGACCATTGGACTGTATGCTGATGGCGCTGAGGCTAATGAACGTATCCTTCCACTGAGTTGAGTAATGTTTTTCATTGATCAGATGTGCTGATCGGGCAGATTGACACGTTCAGAAGCTTCAGCACACACACAGTCCATCATCCTCAGCAAGCAATTTGTACATTCATATCATAACACAAAAAAACAGCAGCAAAATCTACAAGCAGTATCCTGCAAAAGTGTAGAAGTTCACACCAGTATGTCATTTTTTAGAATGAGTTGTTTTATGTGGCTCAAAAACAGTAATAAAAACAGGCACATTATCCATCAACATAGTCTAAACTAGAACTTTTGCCCTTTTATCACTACTCTTTATAACTGATGTCATAATTGATCTTTCTAACTATTCATAACTATTTGACAGAAAACCTTAAAAATGACCAGACTATCCCTTTAATGTCTGTAAACTGTTGATGATCTGACTGAATTATGCTGAAGGAAGGTAAGCTGGAAATAAGTTAAAAAACATAAATCACAAAAACATCACAAAAATAACTCCGGGAATGCAATGAACACCACAATTTTATAAATGAAAAACCTCCTCAACTGGGACAGTCCAGTTCCTCTGTGCTCATGAACTCTCCCAACAAATGGTCCTGTTGGCTGTAGGCAGGCTCCAAATATGGATGTCCCTCTTTACAGTGCTTTTGTCTCACCCTTTCCAAATGCTTCTGCTCTAAATCATTCAGCTCTATCTGAGGTGTTTGGATGGTGGCGTTACGAGCCATGGGGGACAGAGGGACAGGCACAAAGCTGTGGTAAACAACCATCGGTGGAGTCAGGACTTCCATGTGGGATGCATGAGGAAGAGCGCCATCTGGTGTCTGGAGTGGCAGCTGGACATAGCTCCCTGTGTCGGGATCGAAGAACGTTTTTGTCTTGACTTGTACAGGCAAGTCAACAAAAAAGTACTGCCCAGAGTCTGGATCCTGGAGGAGTTTCCGTTGAGTCATAGGGAAGGACTGTGTGACAATAGTGTGCTCGATGCTAGACTGACGAGAGAGCTGGCTACTGTTGCTCAGCTGGCGGGACAGAAGTGGCGCTTCAGTGGGGTAGGCATCAATGCTATGACTTCTTCTCAGTGGGTTGCCTTGGCTTTCCTTGTTTCTGGCTCGTCCTCTTTGCTGAAGCTCATGCATAATGGATTTCTCAATGCGCTGAGCCCTGGGTTCAAGCTTTTCATTGGTTGACACATGAGCACTGAGCTCTGCTTTGCCTACCATGTACCTGTCGATGCTTTGGGACCGATGGAAGGACCTGTCTGAGGTTGGCCTCTCGTCAGCCGGATCTTTGTATACAGGTGCAGTACCGACGATTCTGTCATTGCTGTAATGTCTCTGCTTTGTTTTTTCTTGAACTCGTCTGTTGCTGCTGCGTCCCTGTCTTTCTAAAGTTCTCTCAGGTGGCATGTCTCTGTTCTGGTTAATGCAATCCACTGAATCATGGCTCTGTCTTTGAGTTGTGTGGCTCATTGTTGCTTGCTTGTGATGATGGTTTTTATTGTAGCTTTGTGGTGGCTCACTCTGGGTATTGTCATGGCTAAGGTGAATTTCATGATGTGGAGTACTGTCTTTATTTTTTTCTATGTGTTTTTTGTCACTTTTCCTGCCAGTTTTAGCGCTGCTGTTGGTTTTCTGCTCTAATTTATCACTCTTCGGCCTATCTGCTGTGTGTTTACTGCTGGTTTGAGATGATTTTTGAGACAACCTCTGGGCCTCTTCCTTCTTCATCCTTCTGTTTGTCAGCTTAATGGCTTTTAAAACTGCCTTTTCAGATTTGGGTAATATTACTGGAGGCTTGGGCAGCTCTGTTTGGTTGTCGCTGCCGCTACAGATGGATTCTGATGGTTTACTGGGAGCCTTTGTGCTTTCACTCTCTACCAGAACCCCAGCATTCATTCCTGCCTTGTCAGCTGTGTCAGCTGTGCTGGTTGTTATGCTTTCCATACCTTCAGATGATGGCGTCACTCGAGAAGATGTGTCGTCTTCCTGTGGGACAGTGAGGAACACTCCAACCTGGGCTTTCTTTGGGTTTTCTTTTGAAGATAAAAGTGACAGCAGTGGTGATAAATTCTCTCCAGTATTGAGCAGTTCTGAAGGAGTCACAGCAGTATTGATGGCACAAGTTTCATTTACTAGCGAGAACTCTGGATTTTCCTTTGTGGGATGTGACTTTTTTTCTATCATTTCTGATGTATTCAGACTCCCTCTTGGTGACCAGGGCACTACAGGCTTCTTTGTCCTGTTACTGAAAGTGTTGTCTTTGATTTTGAACAAGGCAGGTATTTCAGAAGTTGGAGAAAAAGTAGTAGTGGGTGACACTGTTGGATCATTTTCATCATGAGTTTTTTGTTCATTTGTTGTGACAGTCTCTGTGTTGTTTCTGTCCGCATCCTCTGGCTTTTTCCGAGGAGTCTTCATCTGGAGCATTTTTTCCTCCAAGCCCTTTTCACAATCATTTAAAGAATAATATTCCACCAAAACTTTGTCCATTTCTTTTTGTAAAACAGTCTGCCCTGGCCCATTAGCCTTCTCCACCTCGAGAGCAAGGTTTTCCAAAGAGTGGTAGACATTTGACTCTGTCTCTGTGTTTCTTGGCAGTGCACTCTCCACAGAGAAGTAGGAGGATTTAGAGGACAGGCTGCCTTGATCTGGTGGACTCTGAGCCATGCTGATACCATTTAGTAACAGTAAGGGTGAAACTATATTTCTGGGTATTTCACAGAAAGCCTCTGTGTCCGCATCTTCATTATTTATTTTATCAGTTTGTGTTTCTTGTTTGGGACTCTTGGTCGTATTTTCGTCTGGCCTGATTAAGTGGTCGGGTTTTAACGGGGACTTTTGCTTTTTCTTGCTAGTCTTTTGAGAATCATCACCCTCATTTGGACACATGATAATCTGAGAGCTATCTCCCTTACTTTCATTTTCTCTTAGTTTTGTTGATAAACAAGCTGCATTTTCAGATAGTGAGTCATTTAACAATAACGCTGACCCACATGTTTTGCTATCTGTAGCAGTGTTTAATTTTAAATTGGCGTTATTCACATTATCCTGCCTCTCTTTGTATAATAAAGTTTCATATTGAGTGGGTGGAGCGTCTTTAATTTCTGAACTTGTCCTCGTCTGAACATACTGTTCAGCAGGGTTTTCAATAATTTCACCTTTGCTTTTGACAATTTCACCATCTGTATTTTTCTCTTCAGTTATGCTTCCGTCTCTTTTGTTACCTCCTTTTTTGTTCCTGGGGGGAACAAGAGGAGTACCAAGTGTTTTGTCCACACATTCATTCATAGAGTACTTTCTACCTTCTTCAGTAGACCTGCTGTGTCCCTCAAAATAGAACTCTGAGTTTTGAGTAGCATTTTGTTCATTGCTAACAGTGTTCCTGTCAGGTAAATCAGCCCTACCACCTGATTTCTGAGTCTCACCAGGTTGAGTCTGTCTCAGCTGATTCTGGTTTCTAAAGTCCCCTAATCTCTCCTGACCCTCTCTGAGCTCTGTGATGCAGTCTTTGGTGCCCTCCTGCACCCGTGTTTCAGAACTTCTGTCCTTTTCTTCAGATGTCAGAACTGAACCTTCCTCTGTCTTCTTCCTCTCCCGTTCTGAAATAACCTCTTCAAGTGCCATTTTAGCTCTGTCATAATTGTCAAGTGCTTTGTTCGCAATAACATGACTGTCTACGTTTGTGAAAGCCTCTTTCTCTTTTTGTGCAAATATTTTTTTCTTAGCTGACGTGTTCCCTCTCAAGGATAGCATGCCTTTCTTTATGTTACGAAGTTCCCTAGAGATCAGCTCATTTTCAACCTTTGTCTCCTCATCAGTTTTAAGAACTTCTAATTTGGTTCTTGCAAACTCAAGCATTCTATCACCTAGTCGCACCCTGTCTAGCACTTTCGCAGCCTGCAAGTCATTAAAAATATGCTCACTCTCTCTCATTTCTTCTAAAGAGGTTGTTTCGTTATCCGTCTCTTTTCCCGTCCTTGTTTTCGTACGGTTTTTCTTATACTCCTTTGTTTGCTCGTCGTCTGTCACTGCATATCTTTGATGCTTGATATAATTGTTCTGTCTAGCTGAGAATGCATGTTTCTGCTTATCTTGTTTTGAGACAGGTTCATTTTGCTTTGGTGAAAAATTCACTTTATCATCCCTCAAATCACCACTAGAGGCTTTGTCAACTTTACATCGTGTCTGTTTGTCCAGAGAGTGTCGTATGCTTGATTTGGCGAAGTTTCTTTTTGGAACAGGAGGAGGCTCTCTGTTCGAATGGCTGCTTTTGCCAATCAGCAATTCACCAGTAGCAGTATTTTGTGATAAAACATCATTTGCTGTTTCTGGACTTTGCCCTATGCAACCAAATGTTTCTTTCGAGACTCTTTGTTCAGTGTCTTTCTGCTTTATTTCTTCAGTGTGTGAAATTTGCCATTTGATGTTATCTGGATAACTTGCAGATTGAGCTTTATTTCTGGCTGAATTAATTGCATCTCTTGCTGCTCTGATCACATTCATCATACTCGTTTGCCCACCTGGATTGTTTTCTTCAGAAGTTGGTTGCAAACAAGAGTATTTTTCTCTTGTGTTTTTCACCATGCGTTTAGTTTTGTCTGGGACATTTGGTAGTTGTTTCCAACCCGGTGACAGCCCCACATTCTCATCTGAGCAGGGTGAAATCATTGGTGAAAAATCTTTGACTACGTTCAGAGTTTTTGGTGAAAGCCCTGTGTTTTTTGGAAGCTCTCCGTCTTTTGTTTCAGCAGGTGGAACATTTGCTGGAGTGCTGATGCTCAGAGGTACCTGAAGATATTTAACATCAGTGTCAGCAGGACTGGCTTTCTTATACAAATTCAAAGAGGGATAGTTTTGCTTTTTAGCCATGGGGCTTTTGTTTTTCTTTAATGGTATAAATGGAGAATTGGGGTACTCTTCTCCATGGTTGTTGCCTACAGAATCCTGTTTGTTCTGCAGCAAGTTTGACAACAAATAGTCATCTGATAGAGTCTTGTCATGCTTTGTAAGATCAACATTTGAGGATACTAAAGGTTCCAAAGGAGGACTGAAAACTGCCAGTGCATCTTTCAGAATATCAGGTGTGTTTAAACCAGATGGAGTGTCTTCAGAAGCAGCTTGATTTACACAGTCTGTTTGTGGAGACTGGGGTCCACCATCGGGCACCTCAGAAGTTATGAATTTAGGTGGACTGTATCGACTCTTCACCCTCTTCCTGTTGTCCTTCAGGTTGAAGAGGATGCTGGATGCCAGTGATTTGTAGCTTTCCCTCTTAACTGGAGGTTCAGGAGTTCCTTTGACCTCAGAGTGAGGCCTTCCCAGGAGATCACAAACTGAGGGTGAGAGAACAGCTTGGAGGACTTCTGAAGTCTCCGTTGGCTGTCTGGAGGGAATGACTGGTGTCATCAGCTGGCAGATGCTGAACGGAGTAGAGGCCAAAGGGCTGTCATCCTCAACCGCTTTCACTTCCACAGATTTTATTTCCTTTTTGGGCAACAAAATACTTTCATTGGTTGTTTTTGAGTTGCTCTCTTGAGGTGGTATTCCAACCTGATTGGCTGGAACTGTACTTTTTGCTCTGGACTTGTTGCGCCTCCAGGGGGCAGCATGTGCATCCCCCCCATCTGAAGAGCACCTCTTCTCAGCCAGAGGAGCAGAGGGCTTTGGTAAAACAACTGGGGGGGCAGGGTTGGGTTTAGAAACGTTGGTGTCAGAGGGATCCACTTGTTGTTTTTGGCATGTCTGTGCCTCTTCAGAATGAAGAGTCTCCTTTCTGTGTGCTTCAGTTAGCTTCTTATAAAATGGCAAATCGTACCATTTAGAGATATTATCTGTGGAGAGAATATTGCCGACTGTGTTTTCTTGGGCAAAAGGAAACCGGTTACAGTCTGTCCATGTTTGGAAAGGACTGAGCTCGCTGTGAAGGAAGAAGTTTTTGATGTTAAGTTTCCGTAGCTTGACAGTAGATTTTCCGTGTTTAATCCTTGTGAATTTCCCAGATGAAAGGTTGACGTCTTTGCTGTTTTTATTAGTCGAACCGTTTCCAGACTGATGCGGCAGCTGGTTCTTGTGATGCCTGTTTTGGAGACTCGTGTGACAATTAGAGGAAAACTCTGATAACTCTTTCTCTATGCTGCGCAGGGCAGATTTATCCCATGATTCTCCATTAGAATCTGTCATGTCTCCGTTTCTGATTATCATTCCTTCACAGCTTTCCTCTGCAGCACTGAACACCTTAAGGAATGATGACATGTGGGATATGCTCTGCTGCTGCTGTTTCCAGGACTGAGAAACCCCTTTGTCAGGTTTGTGTGGCTCTTCCTTTTTAGATTCCTTGGGATATTTTTTCTTAAGCGGCTCCCCTGCCAAAGGTTTGAGGCAGCTATAAGGTGAATATCCATACAAGAAGTCGTCGTTGTAAACTGCGTCGTCTCCAACGCAGAGACTGCGGAAGGCTCTGTCAGTGAGGGTGCTGACCTCCCGGTCGGTCTCGTCCATGAACAGGTCTGTGAACCCGTTAGGGAAGCGATGGTGAAGCATGCTCCCCAGCCGATGACTTGTGTGTTGCTTCTCCAAGCAGCTCATGGTGCCAGCAAGTGTCTTACTGTTTGTGCATCACCTTTTTTTAGCTGCTGCAACTTTGCAGGTTTTTCTAATTTGACTTCAGCTCAAGTCGGCATCGTGGACATGCTGGGGTCTGGAAATCACCTGCAAAAAAAATGATGTGATTAGTGTCGCTATTCAACTTCATTCAATCAACCTTAATGACTTGATTCATATAAAAGGATTTGAATTCCATCATTGCACTTGTGACCTTTATGTACAAAACAAGTGGTCTCTTGGACCATGCTGGAACTAAGCAGGCAGCAGACGAACACTCCAGACCATGCACAAGGCTATTTTAAGAAATGTCTACTTTAAGCTTTGAACACTAAATGTAGGCTTGGTGGCTATGAGGGAAAAAAAGGCTCAGATTACTAAAAAAAAGCCTTGCATGCTCATCACCTGTTGCACTTCCTGCCAGTTTCAGACTAAGATCCTGTGATAAGAAAGGACAGAGGTGGAAATGTTTTAGTCAAAATCTGAAAAAAATAAACATTATGGAAGATCTCACTTGAAGTATGAGTTGTGAATTGACCATTATTACAGTTACTAATGTGCATGCTCCAAATCAGTGTTTTGCAATGCATTATGGTCTAGTTCAGGGGTTCTTAACCTTTTTGACCTCGGGGCCCAATTTGTTGAACATAAAGTGACACGAGGCCCAGTCAGACATTACCAATGTACGGATCAAAATGATAATTATTATAAATCTTGGTTTAATTTTTATTGTATTTATCTCATAACTAAACTATCATAACTAGCATAACTAAATTAAAAACACTTACAGTTTAAAAGTAAAACTCCTGTTAAATGATCACAAGACATGATTATGACAAATATTTTTATATTGTAACCTGCCCATAACGATTATTTGAACAAATACAAAGGTCAGTCAACAGACCACTCAGTCTTATCAACACAAATATATATATATAT